CGCGCCGCCTGCTGCGCCTACCCCTTCGCCGTGCGCACCTTCGTCTTCGCCATGCCACTGAGCATGGCCTGCCCCATCATGCTGGAGAGCCTCCTCTTCGACCTCCGCACCCGCAACCCCACGCTCTTTGTCTACTTCTACCGGCGCTACTGCTGGCTGCTGGTGGCCGCCTTCTTCAACGTCAGCAAAATCCCCGAGCGGATCCAGCCAGGGCTCTTCGACATCGTGGGGCACAGCCACCAGCTTTTCCACATCTTCACCTTCCTCAGCATCTACGACCAGGTGCACTACGTGGAGGATGGGCTGGCCGAGTTCCTCAAGGCGCCCCTGGCCGCCCCCACGTATCTGGGCACCGTGGGGTATATGCTGCTCCTGACGCTCTGCCTGGTCATGGTCGTCAAAAAGTTCCTCAGCGTTGCAGACCTCTGCAAGCAGGACTAGCTAGGCCAGCGGCCCTCGGGACAGTAACCACCATACCAGTGACCTGTGGGCTGGAGACCCTTGGGCTGATGACCTTCAGAATGGCGACCCTCAGACTGGCCCTACCATGTCCTGAAGATGCTGTGAAACCTGGTGGAAACGCACCTGTGGAAGAGCCAGGTCCCTTTCACGGAGGGTTGCCAGAGAAAATGACCGTGGTGGAACTGCTCGTGCTCTTTAAACTACTAGGTAACCAGGGGAAGCAAGCAAACGCTTACTGGTATGTTGCTGCTTAGAGCATAAGCTGAAACAATTTAGCTCTGCTACTAGGAAGAATGCATGAACTGTGAATGCCACTTACTAATTTCATAACAATTAGGTTTAAACTAGGTCTGTGTATACATATATATATTTATATATCTAGCTATATATTTATTAGCTACATATATATGTGTGTATATATATATATACACCTGAAGATACCTGTGCAATGATTACTCATAGACTCTTAATGAACTCCTATGTGAAATTTCCTAGTGGATTATGCACTGACATTTATCTTCCTCTGTGATACTGTAACAAGCCTTTGCAGCCACATACTGGATTTTAAATGCAAACAAATCGATAGCTATCTATAGTTTCTAAGGTCTTGCAGCCTTTTCAGCCAGGGAACAATAGATTTAACAGAGAGAGAGGAAAAACAGCTGTGAATTATTACAGAATTACCAGTTGATGGAGAGGCTTTAATTAGACAGGCAGTGAGTGGTTGGTGTAGCCACTCAGATACTAAAATAAAATAGAGGGATATGTAAAATAACTGAACCAGAAAGGGGTCAAACTAGTTTGGAGCGTGGATGGGGGGAGAAGGACACTGCATAATGGCATGGCTCTTCCCCCAGCACGTCAGTAACATCTGTTGTGTAAAGAAGGTTGCTAAGGGGCTCCTTTATCTTCCTTGGTAAATCACCCCCAAATCAGCCCTTTAGAGTCAAAGTCTGATGCCAGACTTTCTATAAGCTCCTGCCAAGCTCAGTGGGAGTTCTGTGGATGTAAAGAGAGTAACTGATGCATGAGGTCTCATTCTGGATCTTTTAAAGAATTACATGGAACTGGTTTCTTCTGCTCTTTAATTAGAGCACTCTGTCAGATTTACCATTCTGAAGTTAGTTGCAGAATAAGGTACTGATGAATCTGAGTTCAGGACCTAAAATCTGGCTCTACAAGTACTGAATACTGGCACTTTCTCATCATTCCCCATCATTTTCATTCGTTTTGGCTGCAGCTGGGTTTGAAGTCCTCTTTCAGAAGCTTTGGGGAGTTCAAAGACAAGAATTATGAGATTTTCCAAAGCAGTATCTTTGCACAGCAACCCAGGTATTACCCTTCTCACATGACAAACAGCTAACTATAGATTGAACTTACTCTCTATATAAAGAGACATTTTTATAAACTACGTGCAGATTTTAAATTGATGCATTTTGATTTTATCTGACAGAACAAGTAACAAGTATGCAATAATATTACACAAGGGGGTTACAACTTGAAGTTCAGGTAAGAAACTGCTTGTATACTCTGTTTTCAAAAAGAAGGGTGGTACTTCCTTAGGAAACACTGGTGTCATAATACACAATAGTGTAGTCGCTCTTTAACTCAGCCTTTTTGCCCCTATAGTGGAAAGACATTTCTGCTTGGGTCTTTGCCATTTTCATGGCATCCTAACCCCAAGAAAATATTTTGAGTCCAGTCCCATAGTCTCCTGTAAGACAAAGCTCTCTTTGTTTGTAATGGGAATACAGAAGGACTATCGCTAGAGATTATGAGGTCAAATCCTTAATATGGGTCAGAATCATCACAGAAAACAATAAGTGATATGTCCTGTACCAACGTCAGCTTTGTGAAAACTTCCCTATGAAAGAGCATAAGCTAAAAAAAAATTACACCCACTTCATTTTATCTTTTATCTCAACCCATTTTATAATGGGTTGGAACTTTTAGATTCTCAGTGAATGATGAGAATGGCCTAACAAAAATACATATTCTTTGCCAGCCACAATTCTGCCAGTATATAATTTGTGGTAGGGTCACTTGTGGTCTCTTAAAGAGATTGGCTAGAATTTTCTGAAACAGCAGTTCCCAAAGTGTGGCCTCTAGTTATCACTGATGGGCCGTAAAAACCACGATGGCCCTGTATGGCTGTCTGTGTTCTGTTTTCATTTGCCAACCTGCATTAAAAGAAAATGAAAACTGCATGAAGTATTTTTAATTTTACATATTTTCATTAACTTTTGTCATAAATGCGGCATTGCTTTATTCAGCTGCCAATAAAGCAGAAAATGATCTCTGCCACTGGGAGAGGAGGCTGGTTCACAAGACTGTTATGCTTTGAAATGTGCTCTATATTGGGAAAAAAACCCTGGAAACTCACAACAGAAAGCAAATGGATCAAGACCTGCAACGATGTCACCTGACAAATTTCTACAACTGCAAAAAGAAGCCAAAATCTTTGAGATGTGATGTATTCAAGTTAAAATAATAGAGGCATAGTAGTTAGAGCACAATGACTCATCCAAGTTTCAAAACTAATTATGTAGAAAGGGTTTGCCTGGGAGATGCCACTAACATGTCCAACCAGCAATTATAAACTAAGAAAGAAATCAAAAAGGCCGGGACAGCAAATCTCAGCACTATAAGTCAGCTCAGAAACAAGCAATAAAGGCCAAATGTAAAAAAGGCTTTTAAAGCATACTGTTAATGAATTATATTTGTGCTTGTCAGTCACGATGTAGAGGGCACCTCAAGAGGCAATGTCAAAAAAGGCTGTTGCTAACTTGTAAAAATACATTTGATATTTGCAGTTAGGCCACACAGGGTCATCTATATATATCTCAACAACAGATAACAGTATAAAGGTTGGATTGCAAGCAACTGCAATTTTACTGGAATCTTACTGCTGTTATAAAAGTTGCCTCTGAGCACCAGTCACACTGCAGATTTGGTACCTGTCTCTGATTTTAAGAATATTGCTTCATTTAGGAGTTTCTATTGGCAAAATGTTGAGGCAGATGTATGGGCCTGAGCACTTTGTGGAATTATTTGTAAATGCTGGTTGAAAGTTATTGTTCTCTGAGCCACTGTAAGCAGGCTGTATGAATCAGGAGTGAATGGGTACAGGGAGATGTGATTAGATTTTAAGAGTTCTAATTTATGTATGTTTGTTTGTTTGTCTGCTTGTTTAAAATGTGGCTACAAATTAAAAAGTTCCAGTAAGTGTGGAGAATATCTAGGGAAATGCTACCCGAGTGTGTTTATTCAGTGAAGGACATGTATGTAGATAGTTGCTCCATTTGCCATGTCTGATAGCCAGTCTCTGTAAATACAGACAGAACAAAACTGAGTTAAAGAGGTTAAAAGTGGAACAAGATGTCTATAATTATAGTGCTTGAATTTACTTGTGTAGAAGTGAGTGTCAGCATTTGTGTGGCTTGTAAGGGAGCAGGATCTCTTTCTGGTGTGAAAGCACACATGGCTGAACATCTGTAAGCATGTCCAGAGCTTAGACAGGAGGTCTAACCTGCAGGCTAGATGCATAAGGACATCCTTATGAAAAGAAAACAAACCTTTTTGTGTAAGTACCTGTCATAATGTTTTTATTGCCTGGCTACCTGCCATAAGGTCTACACTGTGGACTTCACAGCTCATCTTTAAAACCAAGGTTTTTCAGGCCTTTTGTGGTAGAATCTATGTGCGGATGGGGGACGAGGTGAGGACTGGAGCACAAGGCGTTGGCCTGAAAATGCCTACGTGTCTTTCCGTCTTTGGCCAACACTGACCTTCAGACTGATGTACCTGTGCCAATGTGAACTGACTGTTCATGGGGCCAGTTCCCAGCGTGGTGGTGGCACGGACACTCACCCTTGCAATCTGCATGTGCCTAGAACTGCAGTCTACACATTGGCATAGAGTCGGTAAGCCTGGCTTCTGGGCACTTCCAAGTGACCTGTAAGCTCCAAGCTCATCTTTGTGTGAGATTGATATACCTGGTCTGTAGTAATTATCCCGTATTCTGTGGCGATACAGTATTTCTTCTTCTGCAGTGTATTCATTTGAATGTCACTATCCAGGTTATCTGTGCAGCTCTGAGCCACTTCGTTAGCAAAACTGGAGTCTGCAGTATGGAAACAAAGGGAAAGGTTTCACCTGCATGCTGCACTTGTAGAAATTTAACAGTTAAAAGTAGAAATGCATTGGTTTTTGCTAAAATGATAGTTTCGCCTAGTTGTCCAAGTGTTGTGTTTATTATTTATTTGCTGAATCCAGCTACTATGTTGGGCTTTTGTCAACAGTGCACCTGCAGAAAATGACCATATGAAAGTTTTACTTCATATTTAAGTAAACTCTCTGAGGCAGCACATTCGTAAAGTATTATTGCACTTAACTCAGTTGATTACCATCCACATGCCTTACAGAAGCAAATCATACCTGTAGTAATTGCCCAGATTATACTGTTTTTCATTGTCCGTCAGAGTAAAAATGACCAAGTGGCCAGTAACAAGCTGAGGAGTCAGGCACTCCTGGATCTTGTCCCTGCTTTGCCACTACCTGTTGTGTAATCTAGGGCAACTTGTTTAAACTCTGTTCATTTTAAATGAATTTAATTCATGTAAAACACTGGAATTGTACCAGGGTTGAATTTGACCCTCTGTGTCTCAGTTTCCCCATCTCTAAGATGGGGAAAATATACCTTACCTACCTCGCAGGGTTGCTCTGAAGACTAGCTAATGTTTGTAAAGCACTTAAAAATGCAAAGACTCTCCTAGGTGCTAAGAAGAAATATTACTGAACTCCAGCACAGAGAATGTTATATTTTTCTGTAGCTCCCCATCTCACAGGGAGAAGAACATGAACGTTTCTAGATCGTGAACTCTTGGGACAAACCCTCGTCATTGCCATACTCCTAGGAGGGTCACATCCCGTGTCCTTTGGAGCTGATGGCAAAATTTCCACTGGCTTCAGATGGGGCA